GATATCTGTGATACCATCAAACATCCACATCTGCCTATCCCAGGTCCTGGGTAAGGACTCGATAGATAGACAAAAATGCCAAATCCAGTCTGAAATCTGGCTGACTGTGCGATGATTAATAATAATAATAATAATAATAATAATAATAATAATAATAATAATAATAATAATAATAATAATAATAATAATAATAGTAGTAGTAGTAGTAGTAGTAGTAATAGTAATAATAGTAATAATAATAGTAATAGTAATAATAATAATGTGCAAGCTTTTCCTATCATTAAACTTCCCCACCCACACTTTTTTTGCCAAGACAAACTTTTCCATGGTAAAAAAACAACTGAGGGGAAGTAGATACTGGCTCTAAGGAGTTAAATGAAGACCCAAAGGCAGGTGAGCCAGTTTGTCAATTCAGCCTTAATAAGTAATTGGTATTAACACACTAAATGTTACTGATTAATGAAGGAAGAACAGCGTTGGTTCCCTTCTCTAAGTTACTCATAAAAAAAATAAAGAACAGGATCTTCCTCCTTTAATCTGTCTGTTGTGCAAACAGTGAAACATAAAAGTAGCATGGACTAAAATACAAGTAGTCCTCGACTTATGACCACAATTGAGCCCAAAATTTATGAGACATTTGTTAAATGAGTTTTGCCCCATTTTACCACTTCTCTTGCCACAGTAGTTAAGTGAATCACTGCAGTTGTTAAGTTAGTCACACAGTTGTTAAGTGAGTATGGCTTCCCCATTCTCTTTGCTTATCAGAAGATCACAACACACGATATCAAGACCTCAGGACACTTAAGCAACTGTCATAAATGCAAGTATATGAATTTTGATCATGTGACAGTGGGGATGCTGCAATGGTCGTAAGTGTGATAAATGGTCATAAGTCACTTTTTTCAGTGCTGTTGTAACTTTGAATGGTCAATATAAGAACTGTTTTGAGTTGAGGTCAGCAACCAGAACAGAATAACAGTTGTAAGAGACCTTGGAGATCTTCTAGTCCAACCCCGTTCAAGAAAGAAACCCTATGCCATTTCAGACAAATGGCTGTCCAGTCTCTTCTTAAAAACCTCCAGTGTTGGAGCATTCACAACTTCTGGAGACAGGTTGTTCCACAGATTAATTGTCCTCACTGTCATGAAATTTCTCCTTATTTCTAGGTTGCTTCTCTCCTTGATTAGTTTCTTCTTGTCCTGCCTTCTGGTGCTTTGGAAAATAGGTTGACCCCCCCCCCTTCTTTGTGGCAGACCCTCAAATATTGGAAGACTGCTATCATGTCACTCCTAGTTTTTATTAAATTAGACATACCCAATTCCAGCAACCATTCTTCATGTGTTTTACACTCCAGTCCCCTAATCACCTTTGTAGCTCTTCTCTGCACCCTTTCTAGAGTCTCGAAATCTTTTTAAATTGTGGCGACCAAAACTGGATGCAGTTGTCAAAGCAAGAACATCCAATATTAGCAGCGCTAACATCTGTCAGAACCATGACAGTAGTATTTCAAGTCTGGTCTTATCAAGGCATTATAAAGTGATACTGTGTACAACCAATTTGTAAAATAAAAAGTTAGAAGGGCTTAAGCGCTTCAGCCAGCCCAGCAGGCTTTCTCTACATCAGGGGTCTTCAAACGTGGCCCTTTTATGACTTGTGGACTTCAACTCCCAAAATTCCTCAGCCAACGTGCCTGGCTGAGGGATTCTGGGAGTTGAAGTCCACAAGTCATAAAAGGGCCACGTTTGAAGACCCTTGCTCTACGTGGAGGTGTGTCTACAGGGCAAGATAAAAAAAATAACCAAAGTGACAGCCATGACCTTTGTCATTTAGCATAGTGCATATTACTAATATTTCCTCCTCCAATTTTGAAATCATGCTTGTTGTCTTACAAACCAGCCCCAATTAATGTATAATCAGCCTGTAGGCTGAATAAACGAGGACAGAATATACAGCCTTGTCACTCCTTTGCCAACCTGAAGGCAATGAGTTTCATCATGTACTGTCCATACTGCAGCTTCTTGATCTGTATGTAGGTTTCTCTTAAGGAGGAGATGTTCTGATTACCTTTTTTATAACCACACACCACAGCTTGACACACAATCCACAATCCATTGCTCTGTTTTTTGAAGCACATACTTCCTTCTTTGGCCATTTTTCAACTTTCCCAATTATCTAGCAAGCATCAGCAGAACTGGCTCATGTTCCTTGAATTTTTCTAAAACCAGCTTGAATACCTGGCATCTCCTTGGCCAGGTAGGGCCCTGACCTGCATTGGCTGATCCTACGCATTTTTTTGCTAACATCCAGTTTTGGTCACCACGATGTAAAAAAGATGTTGAGACTCTAGAAAGAGTACAGAGAAGAGCAACAAAGATGATCAGGGGACTGGAGGCCAAAGCATGTAAGGAAAGGCTGCTGGAATTGGGTATGTCTAATTTAACGAAGAGAAGGATGAGAGGGGACATGATAGCAAGTCTTCCAATATCTCAGGGGCTGCCCCAAAGAAGAGGGAGTCAAGCTATTTTCTAAGGCGCCTGAAGGCAGGACAAGAGGCAACGGAAGGAAACTAATCAAGGAGAGAAGCAACCTAGAACTAAGGAGAAACTTCCTGACAGTGAGAACAATTAACCGGTGGAACAACCTGCCTCCAGAAGCTGTGGATGCTCCAACACTGGAAGTTTTTAAGAGGAGACTGGACAGCCATTTGTCTGAAATGGTATAGGGTTTCCTGCCTGAGCAGGGGGTTGGACTAGATGACCTCCAAGGTCCCTTCCAACTTTTTTTATATTATTAATTATTATTATTATTATTATTATTATTATTATTATTATTATTATTATTATTATTATTTACATTCATTCGTTTGCTGATATAGCTTGGTTAATGTCAGGCTGGAAAGACCAGGTCCACACACAAAGGTTCAATTAAACTTATTTACTGTTAAAATCTTATGCACAAGAATCTTCTCAACTAACAGTCAGCACCTGGTTAAAGTTAGATATGGGTTAATGGCACTCACGGAGGGCTGGACTTAAGCTGGTGGCTACAAAGAGGTTCTAGGCTGACTCCTCTTTTAACTTCGACCCGATTCTGCCAGTCCTCCTACAATTAGAACTTGTACTGATCCTTCTGTTGCTTGCCATATTTCTATGGATTCAGTATTCCATTGGTTCCTGTAATCTTCCAATTTGGGAATGAGCAGAGCGCTGTTCTAATTTTTATCCTCTGGTTGTAGAGGGTTTTGTAAATAGGGAATATTTTCTGAGATATCTTGGATATTGATAGCTCTACTGAACTTCAATATATAGGTAGTCTTATTTAGTGACCTCAGTTGGGATCAGCAATTCTGTTGCTGAGCAAAGTGGTCACTAAGTGGAAAAATCACATGACCACAACTGTACTGCATGACTAATCAGGTTCATACTTTCCACTTTTGTTTGTCTGCTAATCACTCCACTACCCCTTAGAATTTATTATTATTTTTATTTATTAAATTTATTAAATTAACAAGAAGAGAATTAATGAGAATTAATTAAGAAAAACCAAATGCACAGGTATAGTATAAGGGATACTTTGCTCAATAGTAGCAACTGTGAGAGGGATCTCGGAGTCCTAGTGGACAATCACTTAAATATGAGCCAGCAGTGTGCTGCAGCTGCCAAAAAGGCCAACACAGTGCTTGATAGAATCACGATCATGGGAAGTGTTAATACCACTTTACAATGCCTTGGTAAGGCCACACTTGGAATACTGCATCCAGTTTTGGTCACCACAATGTAAAAAAGATGTTGAGACTCTAGAAAGAGTACAGAGAAGAGCAACGAAGATGATTAGGGGACTGGAGGCTAAAGCCTATAAGGAACGGCTGCTGGAATAAGGCATGTCTAGTTTAATGAAGAGAAGGATGAGGGGGGACAGGATAGCAGTATTCCAATATCTCAGGGGCTGCCACAAAGAAGAGGGAGTCAAGCTATTTTCCAAGGCACCTGAAGGCAGGACAAGAAGCAACGGATGGAAACTAATCAAGGAGAGAAGCAACCTAGAACTAAGGAGAAACTTCCTGACAGTGAGAACAATTAACCAATGAAACAACCTGCCTCCAGAAGCGGTGAATGCTCCAACACTGGAAGTTTTTAAGAAGAGACTGGACAGCCATTTGTCTGAAATGGTATAGGATTTCCTGCCTGAACAGGGGGTTGGACTAGATGACCTCCAAGGTCCCTTCCAACTTTTATTATTATTATTACTATTATTATTATTACTATTACTATTATTATTATTATTATTATTATTATTATTTACATTCATTGTAGAGGAAGGGATTACAAGAGAGTTAAGTAGACACACAATGGGGAATACACATAGAAAGTAATGTGCTGGCACCAGCAGCTGCAAGTGCACTACAGAAACATTCTGATGTATTCCCCAACTGCTTCCTCTCTTGTAATCCCTTCTTCTCCAATCTCCTTGCTCTGCAATGTGTGGGGAATGGGTCACTTTCAAGAGAGACTGTTTACAGAAATCATTTTCTTTTCTTCCTCCCTCTGTGTTTGGGGAGGAGAGAAAAAAACAATCATACATTGTAACATCTGGATAATTACTTCACAAAAGTGAATTAATGTTTGCGTTTACATTCATTGTAGAGGAAGGGATTACAAGAGAGTAAGTAGGCACACAATGTGGAACAGACAGAAAGAAATGTGCTGACACCAGCAGCTGCAAGTGCACTACACAAGCTGCTTGGTGTATTCCCCAACTGCTTACTCTCTTGTAAGCCCTTCTTCTCCAATCTCTCTGCTCTGCAAGTGTGAGGAATGGGTCAGACAAAGGAGAGACTGTTTACAGATATCATTTTTTTTTCTTCATCCTGTTCCTCCTGTTTGGGGAGGAGAAAAAAAACACAATAATGTGTTGTAACATCTGGATAATCCCTTCGTACAGGCAGAGATGTATTTTGCTGCTTGAATTTTTTTCAGCCTTCAAAACAGAGCAATGCTTACCTGACGCAACATTCGACAGCACGAAACCAGTGGAGCATCTCATCATGAAGGGTACATAACTGAAGGCAGGAAAGGAACACCTTCTCGGCATCACTGTACCAGCCAGCATCAGACAGGAACCCCCCTAGAAAGATCAAAATATCACTGCCTATTTTCAAAACACAACTGATCTTATTTTAAAAGACACTGACGTGCGATCTTGATTCTAATGCTAACAACATAAGCGTTGGGTCACATTTATCCTGTTTGAAACTACAGGAGGCCTAAATAAGAAATTCGAGCTGTCTGCTAATATTTAAGTATACTGATTAAGGAGTCAATTACTGGGTGATTTTTCAACAGTCAAGTTTTATAGACATATAAAATACACATCAACTGATGTATAAACAATGATGGTAGGTTTTGCTTTAACAAAAAAATGGTGGGGCAGCCAAAACTGCAGGTGCTGCTGCATTGTGGATAAATTTGCCACTTCCAGATGGTCTTCAAGGATGGCCCCATGTAGAGTACATTTCAGTAATCCAAAAAGGGGGGTTACTAAGGCATGGGTGACTGTGAGCAAGGCCTAATGAATGTAATGGCATTTAATGTTTAAGAAGAAATGAACTCTAAATTAGGGAGCGTCTTATTACATTTTAAACATTGTCTTTCCTTCCAATTTTTTTTTAAAAATGAAGATTGTAATTCTCCTTCTTTTAACAACTCAGTAGGGCAAATTGATCTGAGAAATGTATGTACTCTCCCAGAAATTGTTGATTTTAGTCCTAAAGAGCCCTGGCCTGTTTGGAATTTAGCAACAGCTTCGAGTCGGTCTCTGGTGCAAACTATTCATGCTTCTAGAGGCTAAACTGCCCATTCCTGTTTTTGAAGCAGAGACAAATACACAAAAGAGGTTTCAGGAAAAGAGAGCTTCCCTCCATCTTCTATGTACTTCCCCACCACTGAAGCCACAGAAGGGGTTAAAAAGGGACGGAAACATTGGATAAATGACTGCAACCATGATTTTGAATACAGGTAGTCCTTGACTTACAACCATTTCTTTAGTAACCATTTGAAGTTACAATGGCACTGATGTCTGACCATTTTTTCCACACGTACAGCTGTTGCAGCATATGATCAAAATTCAGACACTTGGCAACTGGTTTATATTTATGACAGTTGTAGGGGCCTAGGGCCATGTGATCACCTTTTGTGACCTTCTGGCAAGAAAAGTCAATGGGGAAACCAGATTCATTTTAACAACTGTGTTACTAACTTTTAACAATTGCTGTGATTCACATAACAACTGTGGCAAGAAAGATTGCAAAATGGGGCAAGCCCACCTAACAACTGTCTTGCTTAGCAATAGAAATCTGGGGCTCAATTGTAGTCGTAAGTCAAGGATTTCTTATATACTACGTCGGATGTTTGTTTCAAAAGGGGAAAGTGAAGGCCCTGCAACCTTGCTTCTATAGAAAATAGTTGCTCCTTGAATGATATATGTTTAGTGGTACAGCTGAACCAGGTATGACTTGAGTTGGAATCCCTACTTGAGTAGGAATTTGAACCAGAATCTGTCTGACCTTTGCCTAACTTTCCATCTTCTACCCACAACGTCTCCCAATGATTCATCTACTTCAGACATGTCAAACACAAGGCCCGGGGGCCGGATGCGGCCCGCGATGTGGTTTCATGTGGCCCGTGAAGCCATCCTGGAAACAGTGAGGGAACGCCCCCCGCTGCCTTGGCCCTGGCCCAGGCCGGCCGGGAGCCAATGTACAATTTTGTGGTGGCCATCTATGCTGAAACGCATTCAGTCTTAGCTCCTCACTGTTTCCTCCACTGGAAACAGTGAGAAACCAGCCCCTGCCGCGTCGGCCCCACCCCCTGGGTGCATGCTGGGGAGGTGTCACCCTTTGTGAGGAAGGAAGAAATGCACCATCACCTGGAAGTGGCCAGCAAATGGCCCTCACCTACTTCACCTATCCGGCTTGATGGGCTCTGGGGGAGGGGTTTCGGCAGGCAGCGGGGCACTCTCCTCACAGCATCGAGAGGCTGAGCCGTGCGGCGCAAATCCAAAAAGAAACGCGAGGCTGCCCAGTTCCCAGCCTGCCCGGTTTCAGCAGGCAGCGGGGTGCTCTCTTCACAGCGCCAGCTGAGCTGAGCTGGGTGGCGCGAATCTGATGAGAAGTGCAATGCTGCCTAGCCCCCAGCTTGCCCAGTTTCAGCAGGCAGCAAGGTGCAAAGTTGGCAAGCTTCGCACCGCCTGGCTCAACCTCTCGGCGCTGTGAGGAGAGCGCCCCGCTGCCTGTCGAAACCACGCCCACCCAGTAGGCCACCCCCACTCCATCCACGCCCACCCAGTAGGCCGCCCCCACCCTGGCCACACACACCCCGAGGGCAACCGCAATGCTGATGCGGCCCTCAATGAAATTGAGTTTGACACCCCTGATCTACTTAATGAGACAAACTAAACTCTCCATGTCCAGTTTGCTAGGGAGGGTTTGTTTTTAAAAAAGACAAAGTGCTACATTTTCCCATAACCCTTGAAGGTACCTGTAAAGAAGTGAAATGAGCTAATATTTTATCGGCAGAGAGTTACCTAAGACAAACCCAATCTGGATCGCTTTTTCTTTTACGGCAGCATCTGATTCAGCGATGTAGGAACACCTCCTGCTGAATGAGTAGGCCAAGACGGAAGCGACTTTTACTCCGTGATCCATCAACGCCTGAAAGCAGTGGTGAAGGAGATGCCTAGAAGACAGAAGAAGCACCAGTGGAGATAAGAACCCTTTCCTGCCTTCTAGCAACGCTGGCAGATTGCAGTCTTTATTATGTCTCTTAAAAATACAGGTAGTCCTTGACTTGCAACTGATTGTTTAGTCACCTTTCAAAGTTAGGATGGATCCTCACACTTACGACTCAGCTCCAAAGTTCCTGCATTTATGGCTGTTTGCAGCATCCTACAGTCACATGACCATAATTTACATTTTTACTGAAAACTGGCATTTACTTTTTTGGCCAAAGTGCACCGTAGCCAGCAATGGATGTAATACGGGTAGTCCTTGACGTACGGCCACAATTGAGCCCAAAATTTCTGTTGTTAAGTAAGGTTTGCCCCATTTTACGACCTTTCTTGCCACAGTTATTAAGTGAATCACTGTCGTTAGTAACATGGTTAGTAAGTGAATCTGGCTTCCCCACTGACTTTGCTTGTCAGAAGGCTGCCAAAGTTGATCACATGATCCTGGGACACAGCAACGGTCATAAATATGAACCAGTTGCCAAGCATCTGAATTTTGATCACATTATCATGGGGATGCTGCAAAGGTCATAATTGTGAAAAATGGACGCAAGTCACATTTTTCAGGTCACTACACAAACTGTGGCAGGTCGAGGACTACCTGTAATTGTTGCAAAAACGGTCGTAAAATTGGATCTGGTCATGTGGTGACCTGTTGCTGTTCAACTATCACCACAAAGATGATTAGGGGGCTGGAAGCTAAAACGTATAAGGAACGGTTGCTGGAATTGGGAATGTCTAGTTTAACGAAGAGAAGGATGAGGGGGGACATGATAGCAGTCTTCCAATATCGCAGGGGCTGGCCCAAAGAAGAGGGAGTCAAGCTATTCTCCAAAGCCCCCGAAGGCAGGACAAGAAGCAACGGATGGAAACTGATCAAGGAGAGAAGCAACCTAGAACTAAGGAGAAACTTCCTGACAGTTAGAACAATTAACCAGTGGAACAACCTGCCTCCAGAAGTTGTGAACGCTCCAACACTGGAAGTTTTTAAGAAGAGACTGGACAGCCATTTGTCTGAAATGGTATAGGGTTTCCTGCCTGAGCAGGGGGTTGGACTAGATGACCTCCAAGGTCCCTTCCAACTTCATCATCATCATCATTATTATTATTAACCCTAATGGGCAGGCTCCATTATGGTGATAAGTCAAGGACTACCTGTACTCTGCTTGCCATATGAAATTTCAAGCCAGCTACAGACACTGGCAAATTTTGGGGAGCCAAATGGAACTTTTTAAAAAAAATAGCAAATTCAGGAAGGCGATTATCAAGAGGGAATGAATTCTTGAAAAACATGCTTAGGAGGATGCTGCATCTTCGTATTTTAGTCCACAGATACTAAGATCAGCAGCAGGGCTTCATGGAAGTCTCTGCGTTGAACAGTCCAACTATTGGTTTACTTCCTTTAAATAGATTCCCACCCATTCCTCACACTGGTATCTGTTTTTCCTCTCTGCAGCTACAGAGGAAGTCAGAACAGCAAGTGAAATTTTAATACATCCACCCAACTCATCCCCAACAGCTCCCCTGCATTTTATATTACAGAATAAATTTGCGCCACGTCCCCAGCAAAGGGGGAAATGGAAATACAAAACGAAAAACTGGAACTCTGACCCAAATCCGCTAAGCAGGAAGGGCTCTATCACTCAGCATTATAGCCAGAGATGGTATCCACACCCAGTGGAAAATGTTAAGCCAAGAAGCTTAATTGAATTTTAAGATAATTTTAAACGTACGGTCTCTAGTTATTGTTTTAGATGTTTGTATGGTACTTTCGCTGAAGCCCTCTAGAGTAGCCTTGGAGAGATGGGAGGCATAGAAATCAAACAAAGCCAGCAAACAAGCAAACACATGCATGCAGCTTCCCCAGTATGAGTAGTCCCTATGATTGATTGCATGCTGGAATTTTGAGGAGAAAAAACTAAGAGTCAGGCGCAAAAAACAAGGAGTCAGGATAGAGTTCAAAAGCACTGCCCATTTATTCCATGCAATCTACAGTAGTGGTCAAAATTGTGGAAACCTTTTGGGAAAAGTGTATTTTTGAGGTTTGATGGCTAATAACACCACTTTTTTTGGAGTAGTACCATAAAATTATATATCAATGGAAAGATAATTTAATCAAGAATGTAATGCAACAAAGTTTGTTCAGTTATCTGTGCTGTATTATATGAAAAGTTATAGCCAAATAACCAGAAAAAGGAAGCACAACTTGCTTAGGTTGATCTCAGGTAGCTTTCCTTCATCTGATTGTAGCCAATGAGCAGGAGTGTTTAGAGAGCCAATCGGGTGTCATCTTGTTTTGGCAATGAGCCAATCAGATCACAGCAGGATCCAGTTATTGATATCATGTATTGAAGCTGAGAGGAGGACATTTGTCAGTGTGTTATGTGATGGCTATCAAGTTGGTTGGTTTTTTTGTGTGTTCTTGCATTTAGTGAGCTTGTAAAACGTAATAAAATTAAAGTCATGGTGCAAAGAGTTGACTGGTTGCCCAGAAAGCGATGCAAAATAGTATTATCAAGTGAACAAGGCTACAGTTATAAAGAAATTAGAAGAAAAATGGGTGGAAACTTAACCAAAGGTGGCATTTCTACTGTACACTTTTCCCAAAAAGGTTTCCACAATTTTGGCCACTACTGTATACAGAAGAATCTGATCTATTATGGTCGATGCAAATTGGCGCCAAGGGGAGCTGGAGTTAGATCTCTTTTGAAGTTGCTGTCCCCTTCTCTCTTTCAGGCTTGCCCCACAGAAGCCTCCCCTATCCTATCCGTTTCTCTCCTTCAGGCTTGCCCCATCGCAACTCTCCTCTCCTTCCTATCACCGTGTCTTTCCCCTTACTCCTCTTTCCCACCAAAACGCCTCCTTTTATATCCTCTTTTCTCCCTCATGCGTTTGCTCACCGCCTAACTGGCCTTTTCATGGCAGCGCTCATCAGCTGGAGCTGCGTGCGCTGATTCTGGGGTTCCTGCCAAGCCCCGCAGCTCCAGCTGACTCGTCCCCGAAGAATGTGTACAGCTGCCACCCCCCCCCCCAGGCCACCAGAAGCTATGTGCACCAATCCTGGAACCTCAGCAGAGCCCCAGCAACAATGCAGCTCCAGCTGACTCTCCTCCAGGCCTCTCTGGCGCTGCCAATTCAGCTCACACACACATCACTTACATACTCAATCACCTCCTCCTCCGAGTCTGCTTGCAGGCCAGATCTAAGCACATCACGGGCCGGATCTGGCCCACGGGCCTTGAGTTTGACATGTCTGGTGTAGGGACTCCAGACTCATGATGCATTTGACCCAGCCCTTGGTTTAATAATAATAATAATAATAATAATAATAAAGTTGGAAGGGATCTTGGAAGTCATCTAGTCCAACCCCCTGCTCAGGCAGGAAACCCTACACCATTTCGGGCAAATAGCTGTCCAGTTTCTTCTTAAAAACTTCCAGTGTTGGAGCATTCACAGCTTCTGGAGGCAGGTTGTTCCACTGATTAATTGTTCTCACTGTCAGGAAGTTTCTCCTTAGTTCTAGGTTGCTTCTCTCCTTGATCAGTTTCCACCCGTTGCTTCTTGTCCTGCCTTCAGGCGCCTTGGAAAATAGCTTGACTCCCTCTTCTTTGGGGCAGCCCCTGAGATACTGGAACATTGCTATCATGTCCCTCCTGTTCCTTCTCTTTGTTAAACTAGACATACCCAATTCCAGCAACCGTTCCTTGTATGTTTTAGCCTCCAGTCCCCTAATCATCTTTGTTGCTCTTCTCTGCACTCTTTGTAGAGTCTCAACATCTTTTTTACATCGTGGTGACCAAAACTGGATGCAGTTTGTTCAGGCTGTTCCTCTCCTACTCTAAGGGAACACACCCAAGAAGAGTTTGCTAGTGGTTTCCAGTAACACAGGTAGCCCTTGACTTGTGATCACAATTGGGACCGGAATTTCTACTGCTAAAGGAAGCGGTTGTAAAGTGAGCTGTGCCCTATTTGCTGCCACGGTTGTTAAGTGAAGCACCGCAATTGCTAAGTGAATCGTGCAGTTATTAAGCAAATCTGGCTTCTCCTCTTTGCTTTGCTTTGCCAGAAGCTGGCTGGGACGGTCGCAAATGGGATCACGTGACCCCGGGAGGCTGCAACCACTGTAAATTAACCAGTGGAACCACCTGCCTCCAGAAGCGGTGAATGCTCCAACACTGGAAGTTTTCAAGAAGAGACTGGACAGCCATTTGTCTGAAATGGTATAGGGTTTCCTGCCTGAGCAGGGGGTTGGACTAGATGACCTCCAAGGTCCCTCCCAACTTTGTTGTTGTTGTTGTTGTTGTTGTTGTTGTTGTTATTATTATTATTATTATTATTATTATTATTATGGATCATCGCACAGTCAGCCAGATGTTCAGACTGGATTTGGCATTTTTGTCTACCTATCGAGTCCTTCCCAAGGACCTGGGATAGGCAGATGTGGATGTTTGATGGTATTACAGATATCATCGCAGGATGGAAGCGGTTCCTAGTAAGGCCGCCTTTTGCAATTGACTAATAGCGAATTTGTCAATGCCAATGCTGATTATTATTATTATTATTATTATTATTATTATTATTATTATTATTATTATTATTATTATTATTATTATTATTATTATTATTATTATTATTATTGCATCTCAGTTGCCAAGCACCCAAATTTTGATCATCTGTCTAAGGGTTGCTGCAATGGCTGTGCCTTATGGGGATCGGTCATAAGTCACTTTTTACAAAGGCGTGGCAACTTCAAATGGTTGCTAAATGAATGGTTGTAAGTCAAGGACTACCCGTAAAAGCCCTATTTTAAATTAAGAGGAAACTACTGTGTAATTGCAATGGACAAGCTAGCCTGCATAAAGGTTTGACAGCCCCCTCATACTGCCCCCATCAAGGACAATCTTAGTTTATTTGCACTTAAATTAGCAGGACTTTTTTTTAAAATGCTTATCGGCATTTGAAGTGGGCTGAGGAAGTTTTTACTGGCAAAACCTGCTTCGATACATAATACAAGGGGAGGGGGAGCAATTTTTGCAAAATGTACCTTTTATCTAAAGCTCGAAGCACCTTTGCAAAAACTTCTAGTTCGCAGAATTCGCTACCCAGCTGGCATAGTCGGCCTTGTTGGTAAAGCTGCAAAAAAAAAAAAGGAAAGAAATGATTTTTATTAATATAACAACAGGTGCTAATTTCATACACAGGTTTGGTACAGTGAGTGCTCAGTTTCAAGGCTCCCTTGAAGAGCTGGATCTTGAGCGGCTTTTCAAGCCAAAGGCATCTCAAGACTTCCTGCATTTAGCAAATATGAATTGGGGTGTGCCACCCATTCCTTCCAATATGACTGTGTTTTGCCACCTAAAGATATATTGCTATTTTCTGGACAGTAGGCAATGTCTTCTGGATGCGGCATTTCAAACTAAACACACAGTTTCACTTCTACAATGTATTAAACCACTTTTTTTTTTAAAAGAAACCACAATGACTGGTTTTATCCCAAATTTTAAATCAACGTAGCGAGATGAAATAAATTTATGGAAAACAGTTATGTATGTGGCCATTACTTCTGAAAAATAGAATTTGCATATACAAGAAACTTCCTGACAGTGAGAACAATTAACCAGTGGAACAACATGGGTTTGTCAAAAATAGATCATGCCAGACAAATCTTATTGCATTCTTTGACCAAGTGACAAAATTAGTGGATGAGAGGAATGCTGTGAACATAATTTACTTGGACTTCAGTAAGGCATTTGATAAAGTACATCACAACCTACTACTTGACAAGATAGAGAAATGTGGGGTAGACAGCATCACCACCAGAT